TTTCCCAATAACTCTGGTTATTCAGCCTCACTTATTATGAGGCAACATGATCAATTAAGTTATAAAATATGTAACCAATACGAAAATCAGACACTGATTAAGATACAACATTGAATGGCTTATTATTCGACATATCAGAGCTGTTTTGAGATATGTATATGGCCTCCATTTTTATTCAATTAGTCACTATTTACTAAGCTCACCTCTATGAAGATGCTCTCACTTAATCCTCACAACAGGTCTATGCCAAAACATATCACCCCCATTTTATAGATGAGAGGCTCTTTGGACTACCTAGATGTAGCAGAGCCAGGATTTTTTTTTTGGTCTTTTTCGTGACCGGTAAGGGAATCGCAACCCTTGGCTTGGTGTCGCCCGCACCGCGCTCAGCCAGTGAGTGCACCAACCAGTCCTATATAGGATCCGAACCTGCGGCGGGAGCGCTGCTGCGCTCCCAGCACCACACTCTCCCAAGTGCGCCATGGGGCCGGCCCAGAGCCAGGATTTGAACTCAGGAAGTTGGCTCTAAGGCCCCTGATCTTAGCATTAAGTCCACTGCTGCACAATCTAGACTTGGTTTTCTCTGTTTATAAGCCTGACTTTGAACACTTTAGCAATGAACCTAATTTTGAATGGTTATTACACAAGATCCATCTATTTTCATACTCTATGTCTTCAATTTTTTTATACCCCAAATTAAACCTAAGTTACATGTTGGTACCACTGAAGCCTGTATCCAGGAAGCTTCAAAATGATTCATCTTTCAAAAGTTTTCATGAGGCAAACATAAAACACCAAGCAATTAACAGAAAGACTACACACTATCTGACCAATAGTTATTTTTCTTTTTTTTTTTTTTTTTTTTTTTTGTCCTTTGTCTTTTTCCGTGTCCGGCAACGGATCGCAACCCTCAGTGTCGCCCCCGCACCGGACCAGGGACCGGCAACGGGATCGCAACCCTCGGCGTTGCTCCCGCGCCTCGCTCAGCCAGTGAGCGGGAACCGGTCTGTATGTGGGATCCGAACCCTGGGGTGGGAGCGCCGCTGCACTTCCCAAGCGGCGCACTTATCCAGTGCGCCACCGGGCCGGCCCCCAATAGTTATTTTTCTGAGCCATCATGATTACCTGGGGCCACTGAGGGAAATGTATCTCTGGCAAAACCCTAACTAGATTCAAAATTCTCACTTTCAAGTACCAAAACGATGCAATTCTTTCTTTGAGAATCAGGGTCAAGGTACTCTTTAACCTTTCTTTTTTTTTTTTTTTTTTTTCCCTTTTTTTGTCTTTTTTTACTGACCGGTAACGGGATCGCAACCCTTGGTGTTGAGCCCGTACTGGGGACCGGCAACGGGATCGCAACCCTCAGTGTTGCGCCCGCACCTCGCTCAGCCAGTGAGCGGGAACCGGTCTCCATATGGGATCCGAACCCTCAGTGGGAGCACCGCCGCGCTCCCAAGCGGCGCACTCTCCAGTGTGCCACCGGGCCGGCCCCTCTTTAACCTTTCTAAACTCCTATGAAAACTCAGTAATTTCACTTATGCTTTTCTTTTTTTCTAATAGCCTCTTGTTTTCACAAAGGACAGACCACCCAGGAGGAAAAGAGCAGTAACATATTGTATACATGATTCATTGTGCAAAAAAGTTAATAAAAAGCTAGAGGGGGCAATTCAGAAAGAAAAAGAAATAGAAAGTAGTCAATTATTGGGTTAGGCAGTGCACTTTATTTTATAAGTAGTATTCTAACTTGGAAAGGATGTCCGTAAGGTAGAAATGAGTCTATTCTGTTTTCTTAGGCTCCCCAAAGCAGTCTACAATCCAAAGATAATTGTGTCATATTTGGTCATAAGACACACACCACTGTGATAAGTACTTAACACACAGCAAACAAATAATCAAATATACATTTTTATATGCATACTATGGCACTGAACACTAGTTTTACAAAATATTTTTTCTCGGGCCATGCCTGTGGCGCACTTGGGAGAGTGCGGCGCTGGGAGCGCAGCGGCGCTCCCACCACGGGTTTGGATCCTATATAGGGATGGCTGGTGCGCTCACAGCGCTCACTGGCTGAGCGCGGTGCGGCCGGTCTCAAAAAAAAAAGGACAAAAAAAAAATTTTTTTTTCTCATTTTTTTCCTTTTCTTTCAACAGTATTTGTGTATGTCTACATATATAGACACATTATATAAAACATGTGTAATAAAAACACACTTTACCATTACAAGTGAAACATACAAGGTTTAATTTAATCTGATCAAGATCATTTTAAACACTAACAGTATGTTTCACTGGCAAGATGAAATCAAAAGAAATACCAATGCTAAAAAATCATTTACTGTATTTTATTTACTAATAGATGTAGTGGTTACTACACAAAATTCTGAAGTGTGATTATGAAGTGAAAAGGTTTCATTTCCACAGCGTTTTACAACTGGCTGAGGCAATTTCAAAAGAGGGTTCTCAAAACTATTAATATTAATATTTTGATCTTAATGCTCACCTAGGTGCAGAGATCTCTGAAGGCTAGCACAGGTTTGGCTTGTAATATATTCTTTAAAAACTCTATTTCATGGCTTTTGAGTCACAGCTAACATATTCTTTCAAGCTTATTTGATTCAAAATGTTGTCCTCAGTGACTTATCAAGGGCCACAACCACACTTTCATCCTTACTTTGAAGTTCAAAGGTATTCAAAACTGACTCTGAGAAAACTGAACATATTTTCTCGACACATCAGAACACTCTAAACCAGTTCACATCACATGCCTAGCACCACAAGGGGTTCTGTAGAGAAATCCAACAGAAAGTAATGCCAGCACACTGAGCAAATGAGTTGGTGAGAGTAAGAGCACAGGGGCCCCCAAAATGCATTCTGAACATATGGGGTAAAGACATATTTTAGGACTCACAGTAGGTGGAACGGATTGCATATTTTTGGCATAAACTTTGCCCTCTCCACAGGCCCTTAATGACATCAGCATACAATTAATGAAGGGGCTAAAGCAGAAATATCTAAATACTTATCCGTGAGGGAATCATTAAGTAAATCGTGGAGCTTATATATAGGGGAATAGTATGAGTAATACTTAAAAAGACTACAGTAGAAAAATGGACTGATCTACAAAATGCATTCTTAATGGAAAAAGCAAAGCATTCAAAAAATAATCTAATTTGAGTAATTCCTTCTTGTTTTAACTTTTTATTATGAGAAATTTTAAACATACAAAACTAGAGAGAATAGAATAACGAACCCTCATGTACCCATAACCCAGCTTTAACAATTAGCAGCTTGTGGGTAATTTTGCTTCTTCTTTTTTTTTTTTAAATCCTCCACACTCCAATTATTTTGGAGAAAATCCCATATACAGTATTATTTTTATTAGTATATAATATGTTACATACATTATACTACTATATGAAGTCTTTGAAAAGTTCATGAAGGATTCATATTATCTTTCAATTCTATTTTTCCATGAACTTTTTGGAGTACTCTTGTATATATTAGAATTTCTATATTAGTATAGAACTCTAAAAGATAAGGACACTAAAATTTCACTAGTGCAAAATTTGAATAAATTTTTTTAATCTCGGTATATGCCTAAAATATTTTCTGGGGTAATCCTCAGGAGAAGGGTCTAGAGTGAGGGGCAGGGGCAGCTTAACTGTTCATTTAAAACCTTTCAGATGATTTAAATTTAACTACACAGAACACTTCATGCCTGGAAGAGCAGCAGAAAGGCTGCCAGTGACTAGAGAAGACAGGGAGGCCTCAGCAGATGGCACTGAAGACAATAGCCGGAGTTTGTCCGTAAGATGTTCAAGGAGTCGTTTAAGTCAATTCAAACACTAGTAGGTGACAATGTCTGTGCTATATGAATTTTCTAAATGGGCAAAAAGTAATAGAGAGTTGTGAGCTTAGTGACATTACTAAACATAATTATGATTCCAATGATGTGCAGGGGCAGACATTTATGAGATGAAATGGACTCGTCTCAGCCTCTCTATTGCCCAGCCAGCTGCAGGAGATTGACGACATCTATCATTTAAAGTACTGGGATTTTAAAGGGCATTTCAAAAACATTTTTTTCTTTTTTTTTAAAAAACAGGTAAGTGTCTTAACTCTCCCCTTTTCTTTTCTTTAATTTTACTCACTATAATTTATCTGCCTTATTGGTTGGAAAAATGTTATTTCCCTCCCCTGGTGGTTCTATCTGTTCTATTAATTACATCTTTGTCACATTAACATAGCCCTGGGACACAGCAAGGTAGCTGCTTCCCTACTTAAAAGAAATGAGCCTTTGTGACTGCTTGTTAACACTGAATTCAGATACAACAAAGTTTGCCACATCTTTCAATATTATGATCATTATAGTGGAGGCTATGAGAAAATGAGATTAAAAGTAGGTGACTTTTAGGACTCTGTTCATTTCTGTCACAATTTTAACACCTCTGACAAATCCAAAGATGTCATGAATATGGAATGATCTCATTTAGACTAGTTAAAATCTTAAATTTCTGAATATATTTTACAAGAAATACCATTTCTCACTTTCAAATATCATTTGAATAAGACTAATAAAATATTCCCCAGTAAAGGACAAAAGGGAAATGTCTTTAATGAACAGACATCTAATGTTTTAAACTTTTAACTTTTCATTAACTTGAGTATAAATAAGTTCTTCTGAGAACTTTAAAAAAGTTGATTCTTTTAATTAGGTTGTATCCTGCTCCTGGCAACTGTGTTCTTCTTCTATAATTTTGCTTAACAAAATCTAATATTTCTAGACAGTATGTAGAAATAGTTCACCTAAGCACTGGCACTATAATATCTAAATAGAAGATATTTTACTGTATCTAATGCCAAGGACCTATTTCTTCTACGAAAAATGCTTTCCAGAACAAACAACTTATGTATGATCCCAAGTGAAACTAACTTAAAATGTGATCAAGGAAGCTAATAATATTTTCCACACAATTGCTATATTTTACGCCATGAGGCTCATGCTCTTCTCTGCCTAGAAATGGACATTTTCCATCCATCTAGAGATTTACTCATCAATAGCTGAAAACACCAAAAGAAAGTGCCATCTGAGGCTACACCCTTCCCAGGGATACCTGTTTCATCTGGGGAGCTGGGTGAGGCACTGTCTTGGGACAACGTTGTCCAGCTTGACTCCTCATCGCTCGGTGCCAGGTTCTGGATCCGATGTAGGGCACAATCTGTTTTGGCTCCTGTTTTAGGATGATCCTTCTTGGTCTCTGGGCTGGATGACACTGTGGCTACTTGGCCGTCTTCAGGGCTGGATAGGGGTTTGTTTGGTTTCTGCAGCAGCAAATCTCCATTCCCAACGATGGTAGAGGCCTGGTCCTGGCCTGGCTGGGATTTCTCTTCCATAACCCCATGGTGGTTGCCTAGGTTCTGCTCTAGTTCTCTGGTTGAGGTTTCCAGGTCTGCATAGTAATTCAGGAAGCTCTTAGTTCTCCTGGGCTGGGAGGGTAAAATCTCACAGCCCGAGGAATCTGGCGGGTGGGGCTCTTTACTCTTTAACTTCTCAGAAGTTCTGTTGATGACTGTAGTGGGGCTGATGTTTTTGTTGGGGTCCTGCTGCCCTTGTTCTGCAGCCTTCCGGAGCTGGTTCTCCCCATTTTTCACTAGTTTGATGTTGGCAGAGCCATTCCCCAGCAGGGGCTGCACAGCTGGATCTGAGAGGCCCATTGCTGCCTGGATGTTAGTTAGTGCATATTTTTTCCTGCATTTGGGAGGGGTGCTGTTCTTAGTTTCTGTGTGTTTTATTTCAGCGTTCAACAGTTCATTGTGGGAGGAACGGAGGTTAAGGGTGTTTGGTGGTGTGGCTGAGCTGTTCCGATTTGTGACGTCTGTGGTTCCGCTGCTGGCCATAAACACTGCCAAGGTGTCAACACCTGAGTCAGCTGGGAAAAAAAGAAAATTGGCCATTAGATGCCTGCCGTGATCAAACTACTTAGCTTATAAAGTGTAAGCAAACATTTTTATACAACATACTGAATGACTGCTTCCATTGCATATACATTCTTGTAGAACTCATCCATTTATTTCTTGTTTATTTCACCAGGTTTAATATGGATACCCAAAAGCCAATTTATAAAAAAATCTAAGAAGTCTGAGGGTCTAAATTTTACTTAGAATAAAAAAGTATCTCTCTTTTGAATTCATACAAAAGCATTTTCTTCTCATGGCTTGTCTCCATTTTTTACAATCTTGAAAATCATCCCCTTTCCAAATATTTACATCACATTTTTATTCTGTAGTTCCTTTAGGCAACAACAACAAAAAAATTGCTCAAAATTCCTCTGGGATGCTAGATTTCTTAATTAATCTACAAGGTCAATGCTCAGTGATGCTCCATACGTCCAAGGTAATTTTTCTCAACCATGTTTAGAAATTATGTTGTGAATGCCTAGAAAACCAAACCTCCATTAGAGTTTGCAAACATCTTTGTGAACATTTTTGGCTTGAGCTTAGTATTTGCACTAAACAGAAATTTTGAAGAAATGGCTTAATTTCTCAAGAGAACACACACACACACACACACACACACACACACACAACTATTGCTAATAATGCAGCACTGAGCCCTTGGCTACAGACAACATGGTAGAGCCCCCAAGGAGTCTGAGTATATTCCAGTGAATTAAAGTATAGACTCAGCTGTTTGCAGTCATCATGTGCCCTTGCAGAGCTCCTAGGAAACTATCTGACAGTTGCATTTATCTCAAATATTGTTCGTACCATCAGTGATTTATTCCATATGTCTCTTGCTAGGAAGAAAGAAAGGTTTCTCAGACTAGAAGGGAATGAAATTCACCAAGAATTCCTAAGGTTTCAGATTTCTCGGTCCATGAGGAATGACTTTTCTCTTATCTGATCCTCTGTCCTCCACAGAGAATTCAGTGATCTCTACACAAGCAGCAGATGAACCAAAACACAGCTCCTCACATTCCTGAAATTGTATTCTGGCCACTCCCCTTTCCCCCCCTTCCCAGGCAAAACAGGGATCTTCACAGGAGAGGAGGGCAAGAATTTTCCCCTGTTCAGGACCTTACATGTATCTCTTTATCATCAAATACTCAGTTGGGCAATTTTAGAAAAGCATCACTCACTCATTCTGGAATCCTTGTGCTTCCAGGAAGCTAGGCTACATTCATCTGCTCTAGGCAATATCCAGATTTGTAATGGAATGACCATGTGCCCATAAGATAGGCAAGGGCTGTAATCCAAAGTGGTTAGACTTTGGGCCCCGCTATTTAAAGTTAATATTTATGAGCAGATACATAAGAGAAAGTAACTTTCAGACTTTTGGGTATTTAGAGGGACATTATGAGAAAGCGGAAATCTGCCAGCTTCTTAAAAGGCATGGAAAAAATTTTCTATGAGGCTGTTTAATAATGCCAGTACTGTATATTAGCAACATTATTAAGGAGGAATTTTTATTTTACTTTGTTTATACCATAAACATTTTCAGAAACAGTACCATCAGAATGTCTAGGTAATTTTAATATTTAAGTAGCTTTTATATCCTGGATGTTACAAGTAAAAGCTTTTAGCCACATTCTTACAAGACTTATAACATATGCTGCCTGTTCACAATTTTTCTGCTTGCTAGAAATCATGGCGGGGGTGGGGCTGAGTTAGAATAGGACCATCCAATACAAATTGGATGCACAAATACAGCCCTGTATATCCTGTTTTTACATATCAAAGCCTGAACACAGTTTGAGTATGTCTCAGATAAATAATGGTATCATCTGGAGGCAAAATAAAAGGTTTAGTCCTAGAACTAAGGCAGCGAAGCTAATTTCATAAAGTATACAGTGGCCTCCAGGAGTTAATATATCAGCTAGGAAATCATTTGGGCTCGAAAGGACCAAGAAGTAGTTAAAGATTAGCAAAATCCTAGAAAACCCACGGCTGCTAGAAGGAGCCTCCAAAGTGAGAGGCAATGCTGAGGGGTAATGAATGCCGTGAGGGTTAAGAGCACAGGACTCAGGGTCAGAGAGACAAAGGTTCAAGCCCTGTCTGAGCTACTTACTAGCAGAAAGATCTAGGACATCTGGCTTTCAGTTTCCTTGTCTGAAAGATGGGGACAATTATACTATCTGTTTTGTGTGAGGATTAAAATGAGACATGCCTGCAGAGAGTTTAGCATAGTGTATGACACTAAATGTAAGCTCCCCTCATACCATTGCACCCAAGTAACAGGGCGCAGGGCTGCCTGCCAAAGCCCTCCAATTAACCACTGCCCTATTTGGTCTGAGTGATAGAAAGGAACTTGTTGCAGAGACAGAGTACACAAACTAACAAGAAGGGCTAAAGAAGTTAGATCTATGAGGGTTTAATTACATTCCTCAGGTTTAAGAGGAAGAAGGTTTGTGTTTCTTTTTAAATGAAAGAAAATCTTATAAAGTCTCTTTAAACCTTCTAATATTTAGCTGTTTTCTTTGGAACCAAAAGGCCTAAGAAATAAGACCAAACTCTTTAACACAACAGAGAAGTTACTTATACTCCTGTAAAATGGAGATAATAACAGTATCTACACCTCATTGAGCTTTGTTGAGGACTAAGAGAGATGACTGTCAAATAGTTCATCTAATGACTGGTGGATTGTAAGAGCTCGAAACATGTTAGCAATTGTTACTATCTTCCAGCTCTCTCCTTTCTTGCACACTTTTGTCCACCATACCTCAGGCTACCATTGACTAAAAACTTGCTTCTTTCCAAAAACTGTGCTGAGAATGTGGAAATGGAGACCCACAAGGCCTACACCTGCTAAGTGCTTTCAGCCTTGTGGAAGACAAACACACAACAAAGTCACAGAAATCAACCAGGGTGGAGGGCAGCACGTGTAGAGGAGTAAGGGGTCTTCTCACCTCAGGCTAAAGAGGATCAAAAGTGAAGAGAGGGGCCGGCCCGGTGGCGCACTGGAGAGTGCGCCACTTGAGAGCGCAGTGGCGCTCCCGCCGAGGGTTCGGATCCCATGTGGAGACCGGTTCCCGCTCACTGGCTGAGCG